GCCGAATGCTGGCCTGCGACTAAAGAAGTCGAAGCCCGTCTCAGTGTGATGGAGACGAAGATGCTGCGTTGGACAGCTGGAGTCACTCGACTAGACCACATTCGAAACGAAGTCATCAGAGAACGATTCGGTGTGGCTCCAATTGCCGACAAGATGCGCGAAGCCCGTCTTCGATGGTACGGTCATGTTCTTCGTGCAAAAGATGACAGTGTCCGTAAGATCAGCTTCAGCCTTGACGTGTCCGGAAAACGGCCTAAGGGCGCCCGAAACAGCGCTGGCTCGATACGTTGCACACAGACTTGAAGTCGGTTAACATCCACCCCGACCAAGCATTTAATCGGGAAAAGTGGCGTCAGCACATCAGAAAAGCGGACCCCGCCAACAAGCGGGACAAACGCTGATAAGAAGAAGAAGAGGAACTCTGGTTACTATCCAACCGAGATAAGCGCCAAAACTTCTTCAAAAGTTAGTGTCTGAATGGATGCAGCTTCATGTGCCTCTTCGTATAGCATACATTATACGAAGTTATACTCTTGTTAACAGGGTCACAAGCGTGACATTCTTTATCATTTGTGACTTTTTGATTTGCATCTTTCTTTCTCTTAATGTTTTTCTTTCTCAGATCGGTTCTGCGAAAGCAAAATCGAAAAACATGCGCAAGCTTGGTGCGATCGCCTATCGATGTTTGGACTCAGGTTGAACGTTAGGAAGACTGAGTACCTGACAACCGACACGAGCGAGTGCGGTTCTATCAAAATAAATGGAGTAGAGCTGACACGTGCAACGACATTCAAGTACCTTGGATCAGCAATTGCGTCTGATGGCAGTATGAGTACTGAGGTGAACTCGCGTGTGAGTGCGGCTTGGTCCAAGTGGCGTTCTATGACGGGAGTTCTCTGTGACAAGAAAATCCCAGAACGCCTAAAATCGAAGATCTATAGGACAGTCATAAGACCAGTGGCATTGTACGGCGCTGAGTGCTGGCCAGCGACCAGGGACACTGAAACTCGCCTCGGTGTAATGGAGACGAAGATGCTGCGCTGGACGGCTGGTGTCACGCGATTAGATCGCGTTCGGAACGATGTCATACGGGAACGCTTTGGTGTAGCTCCTATTGCTGATAAATACGGCATAACCACGTTTTTTGCGGAAGTAATCGAAGAGTTTGGCAAGATCGGCCTCAACATAGATGTGCCCGGGTAAAGCGGCCCAAGAGACGCCCGACACAGCGCCGCCTCGACACATTGCACATAGACTTGAAATCGGTCAAAATATACCTCGACCAAGCAATCGGGCGTCAGCACCACGGAAAAGCGGACCCCTCACCAAGCGGGACAAACACTTAAGCAGCATTCACACATTGCGCCACCACGAGGAGGACGCTCGAAACGAACGAATCTGCGCAAATGCGAAATGAATGAAATGCGTATCGATCCACAAAATGGGAGGAGCGTCGAATCGCGCATTCGAATCTGCGAATCCTTTTAAAGGAAATGAGTGTCCATCGATCGAGTCAATCGGAGATCGTTAGCATCGACAACGCGAAACGTCGGTGCGTAGCCAATCGCAGAGGAGGCGCGGACGTATTCGAATGTACGCAACGCTTCGTCACGCGAAGCGGTTGATTAAACTTGTTGCGATTTTCATTTCGTTAGTATAATTTCTGTTTCTGCTTCCCTTTTCGTTCGTTTGATTTGATATAGCGGTTCACTCGTTCTTGTCTGAAGATGGTTTGATTGTAATTTAACTCGCCGCTCAACCTACACGTGGAAAAATGGTGGACAAGTTTCTAGAATGTTTTGCGGCATCTTTCAATTTACGGCTCACTCTGATTATCGATATCCATTTGAGCCCGAATCCTACTGAAATCATAGTATAAAATTGTCTAATGGCCATAGTCGATGGATGAGTGCAGAAAGGCATGAGGAGGTGAAAAGGGATGGAAATGACTGACAACTAGGGACCGAGTATTCAAACCTGTCATCAGTTGCGAATCTGGGAGGGCCACGTCTTGAATTTGTTAACAAACTTGAAAGGGCGGTGGAGCGTGTATTGGTTGCTTTGTTTGCGCCCAAGTATAACTGTATGAGTATATTAACGGTATGTACTGTACTCGTGTGTTTCTCATTTAGCGTTTTAGCAGTAGGCGTAATCTGAGAACTGTGTTGCGATTGAGCGACCATTTAGTATCTGCCGATGGGAGAACGGTCCTATGTGAGGGAAGGTGGCGTAGGGGAGGGGTTTACCGACTTTCTACATTGCTTACTCACAGAAAGCTTACCATAGCTAGACTGCGGAGAAGCTCCTCCCTAAGACTAAGCCCTATCCTTTTCCTCGAGTCCCTTCTACGCAAAAAAGTGGCTTCCTCCCCCCCCCCCACGCCTCACAGAGCACCGAGAACACTAATGATGTGCACCTCGTTGAAATGCAATCTTACAGAAATTACCTGCTCAGCTAAGCCCCGTGGAGTCGAGAGTAGGGTTGAGTCTTTCCTTTTCGTATTAACGAATAGTTTAGCTTACTGCCAAAATTTGAATTTTAGTTTTTCTAGGTTGATTTTTTCCACCATCTACTATCGCTTTTTCTGTCCATGGTTGATGCAAGAGAGTGGTCGTGCAACGACTGAAAGGAGTGGGAGAGGGAATAGTCGAAATTATCGAACTTCTTTTTTTGCTTGCTCTTTGCAGGACTTACGATTCACTCAAAAAATACTAGATAACATTCGGCTAACGCAGAATTAACGTTGACATTGAGAAATCTCCACGTTCAACTACAATCTCCGAATTCAGGCGAACGTCATGGCGAATAGAGCTCCGTTCCGATCTCTCCCTATTGACCTCGTTGAGATGGAGAGAAGTGTCTGGGATCCTTTTTGCGAGGACTTCCGCTTGAACGAGAGGAAGAGAAACGCATGGGATCGCGTGATAAGAGGGATGCAGTCGAAAGGATTTGATTGTAGCCGTACGTCGTTGTGAAGTAATGGTGCGGTACTTCCGAAAAGTCCAGCACACAAATTTTACTGGGCGAGCTTAGAAGTGTGTGGAAAATTTTGAAGGATTTGTGGAAAAAGAAGAATAAAACCACCACGGGATTAGCAACGTCGCGCAAATGGGTCTTCAATGATGCATTAAAGTTCCTAGAGAAGCAAGAGCGTACAGGGTTGGTTGTACATGCCCATCATCAAAACTCATCTAATTATTTTAATAAGAAAATAAATAAATACTCAATAAATACTCAAATAGTAAACGTAAATACTCAAATGTGGATTCGAATGGTAACTTTGTTAAAAATCCCCTCGCTCAAGCTGAAGAGCAACTCGAACAAATAAATAAATACTCAATAAATACTCAAATAGTACACGTAAATACTCAAATGTGGATTCGAGTGGTAACTTTATTGAAAATCCCTTCGCTCAAGCTGAAGAGTAACTCAATCTCTCCCACCAACTCCAATAGCATCGGAAAAGGGAATGGTGAGTAGTCTACGATAGAGATGCCAACCGGCGTGGTATTGTTGAAGACTTGCGTATCCATTTAGACCCGGTGAAGACGATAAAAGATGCCACCAACGCGGTCAAGAGCCACCTGGAGGGAATCAGTAAGAATCCAGGAACCGAACTGAAAGACGAGTACATTCATTTCGGTAAAGCAGATCTTCTTTAAGCAGCCATTTATGCCGGTCAATTTCTTTCTGTTGAAGATGTTTCGTTGCTCTTTATTTGAAGAGTATTGAGCGGTCAGTAGCTGACGGCAATTGCAAATGCCTTCGGTTCTTGTGAATGATGCTTCTGTAGTACACATTTTCGGTGAAGAAGAAAGGTTATGCTTCAGATCAGGCACGGACAAAGCTCCAGCCTCGCTTTGTAAGTGGCAATTTACATTGAAACAGACTCAATGTTATTGAAGATTCGGTTCAGTTTTGAGTTATCATGAGCTCGGGTACATCAGTGACGGGTCCATAAATGCCATCATAATGGATCCGTATTTGCTCTCTTGCCATAGCTAAAGACTCAAGTTCTCGTTCATTGACTTCTTGTCGCTCCTCGACTCCTTGAAGTGGATCAGGATGCGAAGTATCAGCAGGAAATCTGATCACTCCCTCCAACATATCCTGCCTCCGTGGCAATGAATTGTGCAGTACATGAAACATATAAAGTTATTGTCCATCAACAAGAGGGTGTACAATCTGCGCATTCTCACCAGCAGCGCGATTACAGCTCTCACAGCATCCTCAGACTCTAGCTGAATTGCATTTTGCAATATGGTGAATCGTTTGCATAGTATGCCAAACGTGACTCCACCATCCGTCGAGCGCTAAATCCTTGAATTGAGAAGAGAAAGATTCATGAGGAATGGGGGTCCTTACCCACTATGTATGACATCAAATCGCATTTTACTCGGCGTATCGCGAACGACTGCGGATACGGCCGTACATACGGCACCCCTGTGCAAACCCACAGTCTACCAGAATATGGTATTGCACAGGTTCCACACCTTCCAACTCTCGTGTAGGTGGGAACACGTCATCCCTCATAGCGAAGAAAGATTGAAACAGCTGTGTTGTGTGATACGTCTTCACACGACTCACAAACTACCTTTATGTCAGAATTGTTGAAAACACCCATGTCTTCCCGCTCGCCCTACTCCCGTGGTGCTCCTACGTTAAACATTAGTATGCGGTAGTCACAGTCCACCAGGGCGAGGAGAATGATGGAAAAGTCGTTTTGTAATTAAAGTACACACTTCCTGAGTGGGCAGGCTTCTGCAATGACTTCCATCACGTTATCGGAAATCGTAGGATTTCGGAACCCACCCGAATCTTCACATGCTTCCCATCCACGAACGAGGACAGTCATATCTCTGTTGTGTTTTAATAGCCGTCTCCTCTAGAGGTCTTCAAGTGATGGGAGGGAACGCCGCTTCAAACACTTCTAGTATGCAGTGCGATTAGAATTCCATCGACATCCATTCTCGTGTTGGCACCTTACTTTACCTTCATCAATGGCATCGGCTACCTCGTACACTCTCTTACTTACAGTGGATTTGCCGCTATGCTATGAAACCGAATCCATGCCCGTGCCCGACAAAGTAACTCCTTAGTTTGAAGCAACTAGAGCAACTTTGCTCGTGAATTAGTGTCACCCTCAGAAAAATGAAGAGTCGCTCATAAAGCCCTTCAAACTCCGATGGCGTAAATCTGGTATACTGTGTGGAATTTGTGGGGTTGCACACCACCAGGTATTCGTCAAAAGTGCGTAAACGTGAACCCAGAAAAGGGCCTGCTTCCCTTCGCACGTACTCCCTGTGTCGCTCTACTCCGCGATGCTGCTCGTGTGCGTCCTCCACACCTCGCAATAACTCCAACAGCTCGGAACTTTGACGCTCACACATGTTTCAACTGCACCAGAAACTTTTACGATCATTCCAACAGTCCCATTTACAGGTCGTTACACCACTGCTACTGTAGGACGCAAGTAGGCTAGAAAAAGGGTGCTTTCACTTCGTTTGTTGTTTCTCAGCCATAAATAAGTAGAATTTGATAAATTTGGATACAAGGTCTTCAACCGACACATTTTTCAGCTGGAAATAGTTTGTTCTTCGAACTAAACAGCTATTAATTAAAGTTTTTGGGAAGAGTTCCGAATTGCATAGAATTCACTTCTTGCGGCACTCTTGTGGATCGAAATTGATTGTCATTCTTGCTGGTAACTCAACTACCACTTGAGTATTCCACAGGTTTGTATTACTTCCATTATCATGTGCATTCTTGCTTCTAGCATTGTTCAATTTCTTAGAGTGTTGCGACGCGAAGCTTTCCCCACCCGCATAGTAGTGGCGTGGATATAACGTAGTTCACATAAACCAGTGGAACCCAATACATCTTATTTGTGAGTACCAAGACTGATATTCTCTCCCTCAGTGTAAGTCCACCCAGTAAATTGTGCTCTTCTGCCACTGATTAATTTGGCGCCCACTATTACTGCCCGTTCAAGATTGCTTTCTTTTATTCAGGAAGTCACCGCTGACCATATGGCCGAGCTAGATTCGAAGATGCAGAACAACAGTACACCGAGGAGTCGTGATCCACCACGATGCGAGATTTTTACTGTGTCTACGCAAAATGCACGTTACTTGCACAGCTAATCTGCATGCATTACTGATCAACATCCGTTGAAATAAATAGCTTTGTTGCGGTTTTTATCGTAGTGATTTTGCTTTGGATACATACACAACAACCACGATCAAAACGTGAGACTTGTTTGTATTTTTTCTGCCTCTGTGAACTTTCTCTTTGGACTTCAAATGGCATACTTCTTGTGAATGGAATCACAAATGACAAAGTATTCAAAGATAAAAAATCAGCACACAGGTGGGATGGTTGTTCAACTCAGAGAATTTAGATAAACGATCGTGAGGACGAGTACAAGTATGCTCACTGCGCTGTATTTCGCTTTAAATGGCGAAAGAGAATTACGCTATTCTTATTACGAAGAATATCATTGCACTGAGTAGAACTGTCCTCATTGCTTAGAGAAGAGTGGTCATTTTCTTGTCCTCAAGCCCTAAAGAATCCTTATATCCGTGCAGATTTACCTGACCCAATTTCAATTCGCAACAACTGCTGCGAATTATAATTGGGTCAGGTAAATCTGTACAGATATAAGGATACTGGAATCACTTTTTGGTTCTGGCGGTTTTGCGCCATGTTGCTACTACCATATGATTTCTGCGAACGTGTGTTCTAAAAGGTTTACAATGCCGCGTCATGAATATGACGTGTGCCTTAATATCAGGTTTGATCCCTCAGTCCTTTGGCACCAGTTCCCTGCAACTGTTCACAATTTTGTAGCTCGCGTCGAAATGCCATCATATTGGTAATCAGCGCTTTTTAACTATCCTTGTGGATAGTTTCTACAACAAACGAGTTCACATTAAATAAAGAAGGGGGGAGATCGTGTGATGGAACACTTCATATCCTATGAAATTATTGAAGTTGGTTCATTTCCCGTACGAAACTCGGATTGGATGTAAAAGCAAAAATGGCTACATCAAATAAGTAACAACGTAGCCTATGTTTCGGTTAGCATTAAGCAGCCGTCAACTGACAACTGATTATAAACCATCTACAAAAATAACAATATGAATTGAACACCGTGAACAATTAGAGGGAAATAGCTATGAAGTCTACAAGGAAGTACCAAAAAACTGAACGTTTTGCGGTGTCTTTTTTGGAATTTCGCTTAAGAAATGTTCACTAGCTGTCTTAGATCTCCCGCTACTTCGATGAGCGCAATCAATATACGTCAAAACCTTTTCGCTAGTTGGGCGTTGCCCTGCGTTTCGCACTTGTCGATGCCTCGACGCGAAAATCCTCCAGCAACGCTAATAGGGCGTGGTTTACTACGTCGATACGCATCTAAACCTTTTCGCATCCGCGTTCGCGCGTGCGGAGATTCTCCTGGTCGATACGTATCCAATTCTTTTCGCAAATTCGAATATTAAATGACTCGAAAACTGTGAGCATTGCCTGAGAATAGTACGAAGAAGACGGACAGGTGATCAAAGATTAGTGATGGGCGGCGTGTGAACGGAGACACGTGAACTTCAAATCTAGAATTCGGACTGGGCATTTCTACGGAGCCATAAAAGCGCATTTTGTGCAAGAGCGTGCGGTATCGGACTGGGATGACATAGTCTTTGTGACCTTGCCTTTATGTTCTACTGTCCAATCCATAATAAGGGACTCCGGTACAAAGTCCACGACAAGCAAGCAGCAGCAGTAGTGACACTGTGACTCCAGGCGTAGGATTGTCAAGCGCATTTTGGAAGAGTCGCTAGCCTGGTGAGGAGCAGGAACGAGCATTAGTTCTGCACCTTCAAGAACAGTGGGTTAAAGCAGCGATTGCGATGCATTTTGGAGGGGTTCAGAGGGACGCTAGGGTGCTCAAGGCTACGCCAATGGTGAAACAAGCAGGAGAAATCTGTCAAGAATACGCACAGTAGTACACCTTAATTGTCCGTTCATTTCCGGATTTTTACCTCATCATTTACCATAATTCATAGGTCATTTTCTTCTACCATTTTCCCTGTGATACCAGGGGGAGTTTTACGGAATAGCAGACGCATCGACACTAGAGCACAAAACCACTTCGTTGGTGATGTAAATTACGGAGTAATTTTAGTAAATGAGGTGAAAAAAGGAAATTCAGCAGCATGGCTGGATAGTCTCACATATAACTTTGGGAACTTGTAGTTGTCTCCTGTCATATTTCCGTAAATATAGAAGCAATCAGACCGATATGCCCAGAAATATCGATTCTCATTGTGAAAGAGACATTCTGAAATGGAAATTCGAGATGTAATTGGGACTGAAGGCGGTAATACGGCGCTGGTATTGATAATGGTGAGGGGTGCCTCTATGCTTTTGGAACACTCATCATAGTATGAACCTGTATGCAGGCCTATTTAGAAAAAAAGAGGTCTGTTGTCCGAAGAGAGGACGTGCTGTTGAAATTCGTCGTGACGAATCGAACAAAGGAAAACATGTTTAAACGTATTACAAAATCTGAAGCCCTCAGCAAGATAAACACATAAAGGCGCCACTAGGGCTGAAAAAACTAATTCGGGCGGGATTGTAGAGAGTAAGTGGAAGCATGCTGCTGTGCTTGTTAAGGCTGCTTTAAAAGAAGAAACTGAACAAAACCTGTTCTATCTGCCTATACTTTTGGCGTTCCACAGGACGAAACAGTACGGATAGTCATTATACAAAGAAAGCATTCAAATATGTATGTAGTGGAGAAGCGAATAACACACTACACAATAAGTTGCAGTTTTTTGTTTCATATCTGCTGTTTGTGTAAGGCTTTGCAGATTTCACAAAGTGTTGACATGGGCGCTTATAGGGACATCCAAGTGAGTGAGCCACTTACGGTGCTTGGAACTACGGCGAAGGGATCCTAGGAGAGGATGTGAGCAATTTTTTCTGGCAGTTCTGCTCTCTGAGCGTAGTTCTAGCGTCACCAACCAGCAGCTTTCGAATGCCCTGTTTTGAATGTTCTCCCCCCTCCACGCCTCCCCTTACATGAGCGCCGTTGACATGCATTATGTTGTGAACTGCCAGCAAAAATTCCATAGTAATTAGCTTCTTCGACATTTCGTCAACAGCAAATGCCTTCTTCTCGGACAACAGACAAGAAGAAAACACCAGCAAACTAATACGACGTAGTTCCAAATATAATAGTCACAAGCTGCAAGAGGTCCTTCTCAGTGCTCCGCCGCAGGTCCCTTTGACTACGTAGGAATTAATGGCAGCTACGTATTGCAAAACGGAAAATGATATAAATAAACCAGTTTGGCATCCACACTACCACGTGCATGACACGGAAGGGCTCGGTAAAACTGGAGAGCCGGCGAAGCGTTAGGTTACGCCGCTAAACAATAAGTTGCTTCGTAAATGCGTTAGCTGGCCTTCCATAGAATGCCCATTTTTAAGCAACCGTCTGATACGCGCGGTGGAGTGCGGAGCTAAAGTGGTGTCTGTAAACAACCACCATGCATTGGATGTCAGGATGATTTAGCGGTCGAATAATATTGATGCCAATGATTTTGCAATAGAAATACCCATTATCGTATATCGCTAAACATCCATCATACATTCTTAGGGACTTGGGGGTATAGCGGTCGAAAGGTATTTTATGTTGACAACGGCAATGACAGCGCAAATGAGATGATATTGAAATGAAAAAATAGAAAAATCAAAATTGAAATCTGGAATATGGTCTTCAGTAATATCTGCGTCCCTGCGCACATCGAATAACAGTCCTTATCAGCCGTCATCGGTTTCTGTCCCCATGGATCATGTAATTGTCCCACCCTGTACATCACTTTTGGGAACCAACGCCCACTGTTGCTGGGACGCGCGCTATGAATTTCGTGAAATTTGCGTTCTAGCGCCTCTTATCGGCCCTTATCAGCCCTTATCACTTTCTGTCCCCACCGAACATGTTCCCGTCCCACCCTGACATCACTTCTTGGAACCAACGCCCCACTGCTGCTGGGACGCGCGCTATGAATTTCATGAAATTTGCATTTCAGCGCCTTTTAGATTATCAGCCATTATCATCAAATCCCGAATATTATAATATGAATATATCATAATATATATTACCAGGTTTAGATCGGCCCGCTGACGCGGCGCATTGATGAAACTGAAATCTGAAGCTTTGAGTTTCATCGCTAGGTTATAGCTGCTTCGTTAAATGTATTACTGTCCGTTGCATAGGCTGGCTTCTCATTGATAAGCGCAGTGAAGTGCACAGCTAAAGTGATGATGTAAACAACCACCCCCAAGAACTTGTGTTTTATTTTTGGGGGGCCAAAAAATTCGAGTAATCGAGGTAATAGCGAGTGATATCTCAAAACGGAATGGCCAGTATTCCATGTATTTATTCGAGCATCCCATTCATCCTCAAGAACTCAGAAGGTGTAGCGGTCGAAAGGTGTTTGAGTTTACAATTACAACGCTGATGAAATGACACTGAAATGAAAGGCATTATCTACAATCTGCTCTCTATTTTCTATTTCAAGGGCTCTCTACGTTCGTACGCATATCGATGTACTATCAGTCCTCATCAGTCGTTATCACGTTTTGACCCCCACCAAAATATGTTTTCCGTCCCACCCCCTATATCATGTCTCCAAAATCAGCTCCTGACGACTGCTGCGAAGCGCACTATGAATTTCGTGAAATTTGTGTTTCAGCGCCTCTTATCTACTCTTATCAGTCGTTATCACTTGGTGACCCCACCAAATATGTTCCCGTCCCACCCCCTATATCATATCAAAAAATCAGCTCCTAACGACTGCTGCGACGCGTGCTATGAATTTCGTGACACACGCACACACACACACACAAACAGACAGACATAGCGCTTTATATATAGTAGGGATATTAGATATAATAACCACCCAGTGCTCGTCCCTGTCCTATACTATTTCAATGTGCAGCGTCCATGGACTTGTCCAGCGACGAGCAAGCTTAGATTTCGTGAGAAAAGACGCGACAAATATGTATACTCGAAATATCGATTAGTGCAGTTAGGTGTGCCACCTGGAGTGACGTGCATC